ACCAAATATAGCCCTCAGTCAGTGCAATAAGAATTCAGTAATCTTTCCCACAAATTGACTGAACTTATCAATGACTTTTCTAGAATCACAAATAAATATCTTTTTGCAAGTTCAAAATGGGTATTTCCCACAGAACTACTGCCTTTTCTACCAGTTATGCCCCATTCTAAAATCAGGAGGGGAAAGTTGATAAAATCTAGGCTGATCCAGAGAAAACAAAAAGGGATTTTTTCCCTAGTAATGATTTAATTCCCCTCACTTTTTGGAGTTTTTTTGAAAGCCTTTCCAGTACAGGTTTTAAGGGGTTTATTTCAGATCTCAGGACATGCAACACTAGCACTGTACTCTCTGAGCAAACGTTGCACTCAGATTACTAAGAGATGTCAGACAGGGACATTTCCTCCATGTTTTGGGGCATGGGCAGCTCAGTCTCTCCCTTTAGAAGAGAATACCCACATCCAGGGCAATACCAGCTAGCTGGAAAACATACAAACTTCTTAAGGCTTTCCAACCAAGCCATCAAAACAGACAATACAACACACAGAGAATGAGTCACGCACAGGTGGTTTGCAGGATTCAGCTGTACTGAGCATTCCCAAACTGCACAGGGAGACTCAGCTGTGTGGTGAGGGGTGTTGAGGTTAAACCTACAGAGCTCATGGGACATGGGGGTGTTTGGGGTGCCTCCAGCTGTGCCCAGGACTTGGCTGAGATGGGAGAGGTGACAAAGAACAGAAACTGGAGGTGATGCCCAGTCCCAGGGGATCACATGGGGGTTGATGCCACTTATCCCATCCTGAGCTATCTCAAACGACACTGGGGCCATTTTCAAACTGGACGGAGTATCTGGGTCTTTCTTCAACATAAAAACTTCTTCATCTGGAAAAAGAAACAGGGAAAAACTTCGCAGTTCTCTCTGAAGATCAGACCAAGGAGTGCATCACAGCCCAAACCATCCATCTTTGGAAGAACAGCACAAGTTTATTCCAGTTTATATAGATATTATGAGGGCCACACGCTACAAAACGAGTGCTACAGAGGAGCCCTGTTCCTGGGCTACGAGTCAGGCTGCCAAGAACAGCACACCAAACCCACCCACTCCTGGCCATGGGATCCATCTGTTCAGATGGGAAGAGATGTTTCTATGACACCACATACTTCTGGCATGCTGCTCAAGGAATTAACAACAACACAAGGAGTGGGAAGTTTCTCTGTGGTTTACAAAACAAGGAGGGAAAAAATCCCAATCCCAAAGAAATCCATGACTAATATGATATATTCAAAAAGAAAATCACACAAAAATCTCTATCCATGACAAGGTTTATAGATATCAAAATAGTAAACAAGAGCAGCAGCATTCAAAGTAGATCACAGACTGTGGAAAGTCAGCTTTAGTTCCCAATATCTGGATGGGAATTAAATATTTCTAGCCCTACAGAAGCATTATTGACAACCTGCAGCTAAAATTCTCTTTCTCTAAAAGATTAGTTCTAATCTAAACTAAAAACTGTATGATATCCAATATTCATCTTTATAACCACTGAGGATTTTAAAGGGCTTTGAATTCTGAGACTATTTGGGATCAAAGTCCCTTGAATGAGCTGGGAGGGAAACATCAGAGCAGTTCCTGTCTCCTTTTCCTCCTCCATATGTGCTTTCCCCGGCACCAGAGCTAATCATCACTGCAAAACAGATTTTAAAGGCAGTGCTCACACACTGGGGATCCCAACACCAGGTGTGGCCCTGGGGGACCCACCGGGAATTCTGTTCAATATGATATTTATGGTAGTGTTTGTGCTTGTGCAAAATTACAATTCAGAGAGAACTGCAGTCACAAATCTGGGAGCTTCTTGGGAAGACAATGATGGCACCATTCCCATTTGGTGCTAGACGTGACTTCAGTATTCAGAATTGAAAATGTGTCCAATGAAACAAACAAAACACTCAAAACCCACCATAAACATACAGATGTGAGTCACTACATCCTAATGCACTCAAAAAAATTCATACCATCAACCATAACTATCCCAATACCCAAAACCCAACACAACAACCCACAAAAAGAGAGAGCATGTTGATTAAAGTATGTGCTATTCATTATCCAGAGTGGAACATGATATAAAAAGATTCATCTCAGCCTACTAGTAACATTACTCACACCTGCATGAATGTAACAAAAAATTATTTGTAGATATGAAAGGTTTACCTGGAAATCAACATGATAGTTCCCATAATTCAAAGCTATCTTGTTAGATTTGGGATGTGAAACAGCTCAGAGGGCAAGAAAAAGACAAAAGAGATCACGTTACTTTGCAGGTCCAGCTGGATGGTAACAGAGTTTTTCCAACAGTAATAGAGAAAAGGAGTTTTACATGCACCTTGCAGTACTTATGAAGAGCTGGGCCCAAATAAACTTCTTTATGCAAACAGGCACTTGAATATGTAAATCATCACTTACACAAACAGATTGCCATGTGCACAAATATTTTCCCATGAAAACTGCTCCTTTCTAAAGCCAAATCTTCTCCCATTCAAACCTATGGCAAAATTTCTTTTGACTTCAGAGGAAGCAAGAATAGAAACCCAACCTCTACAAAAACATTCTCAAGTTTGTTTGGGGTTTATGCTTGGGTTTGTTTTGTTTTTGCTGTTTTCTTTCAAACAGACCTACATAGGGGGAATGGTCCATCAGCTCGAACATCATTCAGCAATTAGAATAGATTTATGGGAATTTATTTCTAGAAACTTCTCTCAACACAAGGTCAGAACAGCTTTCCCAAGTGCTTATTTCCCGTAGCCTGCACTCATATTCACATTGCCGGATGCACCCAAAGGTCCCAGGAGGTTTGTCTAGAGATTCAGAAAACTGAGAGCCCTTTGCATTTGGGATTCATTCACATTTTCATTCCAGAGAATACACTATTTTATTTTAACCATAAAAACCATCAGATTTTTTACTTCTATAAGGAGTTTGACGGAATTCTGGAGTGTCAAACACACTGAAGCCCAAGAAGATAAAACCTGTCCATTAGTCACAGCTACCTTTGCTGAAGCTCTGCACACCAATACCAATTTGCTTATTCATTTCTTTTCTAACAACCCTTCTTTACTTTTCCAATCTACAAAGCTAGTTTTATCAGTGCCTAAAAAGTACTCAGGAAAAGTGATCCATAAGACACAAAAATGCAGCAGGTTTCCCATGGCTACCCAAGCTATTAAATGTTAGATCAGGTCTGCAGGCAATGAAATCATAGCACCATTACCATTGCCTTGTGGGAGCAATAATTCTGGGTGGTCTGTAACACTACAGCTCCCAGCCCTGAGATAGTATGACCATGTTGTCAAGTAGAGCCTCCCTAGGAGTGTAACTAGGCTGAGCCTTTTTGACCTCATAGATAAATAGGTTTTGTTGAAAGCTGTTCTATTATTTTTCAGATTAGCTTGGACTTGCATTTGGTTCATTCTCTGCCATGGGAGTGGGAGAAAGCGAGGCCTTGAGATATCCAGTACGTGTTTATCCAGCTGCGGTAGCTTGATTCTCAAAGTATAACTGTCAACATCTCTGCTCCCTCATGCAAATCGAAATTTGTAAACAATCCTAATAATTCCTCCTCCCTGTTGTTCGTTGTAGTTTTGCATTCCTAACTGAGCAGCCACAGCGCTCAAAGCACGGAGAGCAGTGCGAGTTAATCCAGCCTGACTGTGGTGGAAAAAAAATGTACCAAAACCATGGGCTTCCAGAACAGACTGTTCAATGCTAATTTTAAATCTTGAAACACAGTGCCAGTCTGACATCAGTGTGGTATTTTTTCATATTTTCTAAATAATCAAGAAAAACTGTGTTGTTTTGGGGATTTTTTTTTTAACATTTGATTCAGCTTCCATTCCCTTGTGTAAATAGCCATAGAACATTGATCAATTTTTTTTAACTAGGTAAACAGGATTGCATTTTGCAGGAATTTTGCAACCACCGTAACTCATAAAATCAAATTTCTTTATCTAATTTATCCAGAGTTTGTTTTTTCCCTAGTTATACTGTGCTGGAGCAGAGGGTCAGTAAGTCTCCTTACAAAGGATATCCCTTCAGATCTCTGTATGGTGAGCAAGCTGTTGGTTACCATTTTGCCTTTCATTAAAAACCCCAGAACTTGGAGGGCATGATGCACCATCACTGAAGACATTTCATTCCAGCCACAGTAAAAAGCTCTTTCTAGCATTTATTTAGTTTCAGCAAAGACCTGATATTGCAAGTATTTATATATGGACTTAATGGGGAATAGCTTTAAAGCCTAATGATCTGCCAAGACTAGTCTTGCACATAAACATTTGTAGCACAAGGGATTAATAGCCTCAAAATGAGAGAGGGCTCTCTTTAAATGTAACTTTTTAAAGATCTTGTTGAGATGTTAAGACAAATAGTTCTTTGAGCAGCAAAATAAAATACTATTTCTCATACAATTTATGTCCCAAGATTGAAGTCCTCAGAGGATTCTCTAATGAATACAATTTTTCCCTCACAAAAAGTTAAAGTTCTTTCCTCTTTCTCTGCAGCTATTTTCATATCACTTTTAAGAACAACCAAATTTGGTTAGAAGTTGGCCCAAAATTCAGAAGGGGACTGATAAAGTAATGTCAAAAATCCTGTCTTTGGCATGATTTCCTTAGAAAAACCTTATTAATGCTATGGAAGTCTAAAAAGAACCCCCAACATAACACCTGTGTTAGACCTTATCAAAGCCACAGTTGTAAAGGAGGTGTCTAGTCTGTGCAAATGGAATTGGCAGGTGAAAACCTGACATTTGGATCCCTATCCTCATTTTCTCCACCATTTTTTCTTTCTTCTGACCTGTGACAATGAGGCAGTTCCTTAGTTTAACTCTTTCCTCTTTTCCATTATCACATCCTAGAGGTTTCTGCTTTTTTTCTGGAGAAAACACACATTTTGGTTTGTCCATCTGCCAGCAGTCTCCGTTGCTATCTCTAGAGCTCTCAGGAGCTCATTCTAACACACACACAATGACATCTGAAGGCCACAGGCTATTCTGCACACTGCTGTTCCCCAAATTTACCACCTGACTAGAACTGCACAATCTTAACAGCAAATACCATATTCACAAAGATGCCAGAATTGGCACAAAGGGCTACTGGGGGTCACATTTCCTCTTTTCCTGGTAAACAGCAAAGGACCTACTGTGCACCAGGCACTGAAACTTGGTCCAGATTCTCTAGATGTATGAAGATGAGAAATTACAACCAAGTCTCCTGGGAAGCAGAGGTGGGATGTTGCCTCCTCCTCCTGGACCCAACGCATTGTCCTTCAGCGTTCAGTCTCAGTAAGGGTGGAACATGATACGAAGAAGAATCACCTCAAGCTCCCAGGTAAAATCATTCAGGTCTGCATGACTGCAACAAGGACAGCACACATGGCTGGTGTTGCCCCTGGGGCCTGACCCCCTTGGCATTTGCAGAATGTGAAGCCCCATCCAGCAGTTGCTGTCAGACTCCATGGAGGAGGAAAGTTACAGCTTCTCCAGTTCCAGTTCTTCCTGAAAACAGCCTGAAGCTGATCTGTTTACTCAGACGTGCAATGGGCCATCCATTCTTCCAAATAGCATTTTTATCTCTCATTCTTGTCCTTGAATTCCTTTATTGTTGATGTAAATATGAGAAAGAATTTAAATTATTTCTACTGTGTGAAGTTTTCAAATGACTATTTACTGTTGCAATTTCATACTCTGCTATCAGGCCAAATTTCCTGGTAGTATTTGTCACTATTAATCTGAAAAACTTGCTCTTGGCACACTATTTAAGTAATTGTGAGATTTCATCAGCGATGCTCACAAACTGGCTGTACTCTGCAAATGCAGGGTTACACATATAGCTTTAAAAGAGCCATTTACAAAGGGCAGAGGCTTGACACACAGATCAAACATTTTCAGATGCACTTTGGCAAGCTTCAGGTTGTGTCTTTATAGTTTGTCCCTCACATTTCCTGAGCAGCAATATCTTCAAAGAATTCCATCCAGGCAGCGAGCCGTGACTCCGCTTCCTGATGTTGTGTCAGCCCTCCATAACCAAGCTGGGCTTTTCTGAGTCATCTTCTGAAAAGTCACAGATCTCTGTCAGAGTAGCAGACCTCTGAAAAAATTATTTCTAGGACATTCCCACCAAGAGATGTCAATCCAGTGGTGCTTCCCTGCACAGGCAGTGTGTCAGCAGCTGCTCTGAATTGGACCATGCTAGTGAAACACTTCCTGAAAATGCCTTGTTCCCCTCCTCATCACCTTCCTGCCCTTGGGAGGGTGGATATTGCCCAATTGCTCAGCCCCTGCCTCTCCTGACTCAGAGCATGTGACTGGCCCCCAGCAGGGTTAATGAAATGAGAACAGAAGCAGCCTCATAAATCTTCATGAAGATTGGATATGTGTCCTGGACTGTATCCCATTAGTGGCTGATTTTTTAAAATAAAGAAAAAAAATATCCCAGTGACACCTGGACAGGACACCAGGCAATCCTCATTTTCTATCCCCGAAAGGCTGATACCTTAGTCAACCAAATGTTCATATATGAAAAACAAAATAAGGGTGTAGATCTCTTGGGAAAGCCACCCAACTTCCAAAAATGATTCTTAAAATCACAGAATGGTTTGGAAGGGACCTTTAAAGGTCAAGTCCAAACCTCCTTCAATGAGTAGGAACATCTTTAACAAGTTCAGGCATCTCTGAGCCCTGTCACAACCTGACATTGAATGTTTCTAGGGATGGGGCATCCACCCTCTCCCCAGGCAACCTATTCTGCTGTTTCATGAGGAAGGTGATGAAACACTTCTGCCTTGTATCTAGGCTGAAGTGACTCTATTTTAATTTAAAACAATTATTCCTTGTCCTTTTACCATCATCAGTACAGATCTTCTTAAATGTCTGATCCCATCTTTCTTATAAGTGCCCTTCAAGTATTGCAAGGTCACCATAAGGTCTTCTCAGAGTCCTCTCTAAGCCTAAATACAAGCCAGGACTTTATTTTTTATTTTTTTTATTATGCTTATTAATGTAGCTACATAAAACTTGAGTTTGTATTTCAAAAATAAAAACTTGATGGTTGTTTTCTGTAGGAAATAAAAGTTATTTTCCAGGTTCCTACAAATGTTTCGGGTGAAAATTTGGGATTTCTGTGTTACAGGAAAAACCCAATGCAACGATGTCAGTTGTACATCATTACATGTATTACATTATAGTAGTTTAAATAATTATTTCTTTTAGGTTCCAAGGTAGGCATACAGTCACGCTGGAAAAAACTCCAGTGGTTTTAGAAGTGCAAGAATTTTGATGCAAAATAAAATGTAAACATTAAGTCTTGTTCAGATATACTTGAGAGTAAATTTATTTGTTTATATTAGTACTAATTTTTATTTTAAATAGCTGTGAAGTCTATTGAGTTGTGACAGAACCTGATATGACATTTTTATGTATTCCTTCTAATTAGTAATAGGTGCTCAGTAAAAGAAAGAGATCTTTCAGATTGAAGAATTCCAAACAGTAATTTGTATTTCTAAAGTTGTATTCTTCTGAAGATGATTTATTCTTCTGCAAAGTTTAACTAATGCTCACTTATGCGGAGAAAACTCTATTATTAATTAACAATATTAAGAAATTATTAGAGAACTCAAGAATTCTGAAAAGGTTTTTCTATTTAGGAAATGGTAAATCACCTAAATTTATTTCAAAGTACATTTGTAGTGTCAGAGGCAGACAAAAGTCCCTTAACATCAGCGTTAATAATCATCATCTCTCCGTGGAGAGATGAATTCCCTGCCTCCAGTGTTTGTCAGGTTCTGTGTTTGGGCAGGACCCCCGGAGCGCCAGGCCCGGCAGTGGCGGCCCCTGAAGCCCGAGCACAGAGGGACCTTCCCGGCCCCAACCGCGCACCTTTTCCTGCTTCAAAGAGGAACCAATGGGGCCCTGTCAGCTCAGCTGCTTCTGACTCCTCGGGCAAGCAGGAACCAACCCTTCCACCAGCCAAACCGAGGGGGGTGGATTCGAGTCACTCAGAGCAATCCTGAGCTGCTCTGATCCGCAGCAGGGAGGACACTGACCTGCTCCTGGCCCAGGAGGGTGGAATGGCTGAGCTCCAGCAGCTTGTGCAGCCTGCCCAAGGAACCAGCTCAGGGCAACAGGCAACGGGAACCTCTATTTACTGAGCTAAGCTGCAAGAGAGGAGATTTTGTTCACTTGTGTTGCTTAATGTGAAGTTTCAAGCTGGCCTCGAGTCTGAGCCATTTAGAAGGGTTTCAAATAATTCATAGAGAAGAGAGGAGATTCACAGAGAAGAATGGAAAACATTTTGAGCGTCATTACCTTTTTCTCTCCATCACAGAATTGAACAAGGGTACAGTAGCACTGTAGATTTTTATTTTAACCTAGGTTCTTGCCAAAACCTGTACTGCAATGCCCCTGTCATGCTAAAAGTACGTAAATGCCAAGAAAAAAAGAAAAGCTGTGTGACTGCGTTTGTCTCTCAAAAAAAAAAAAAGCTTCTTTTGCCCTCCAAAGTTTTGCCCTTATTCCTTCCTTTTCCTTTCATTATAATTTTTGTCTCCCTGCGATGTCTGAGATTTCTTTTTAATCTTTCAATTACTCCCCAACATCCATTGTCCTGACCCTCTACACTTCTCCTGCTTTACATGCAGCCCATGTCCTGCAAGCATGTGAGGAGGCCAAATACCAGGCATCTTGGCACAAGCTAGTACTTTACACCTATTCACAAAGAGAAAACATTCCTCTTTTCTTAAGGAAGAAGGAAAAATAAAAAGAAGAGGGAGCAGAGCTCTACCAAGTACTCATAGCAAAGAGATGAAGTAATGTTTACACCCACCATTTCTAAAACATGTCTGGTCTTTTAATAACAACCTGTCAAAGCTGAAAATTAAGAGCAACACCAATACAGTAGATCCATTCTTTTTAATTGTTATGCATACTGTAGCTATTTTCTTAGCTCCTGTAGCTGTCCCTCTGTGCTGGCTGCTTCCCATCCGCAGGAGAAGAGGGTTTCCTCAGGATGGCCCAGCCACTGCAGGGCGAGGCTGTGCCCAGGCTGGCCCCATGGCCACAGCCAGTGGTGTGGCACAGCAGCACATGAGAGCTCCTCAAAGTCCTTCACTAGTTTAGTCCCAGACCAAACCCCAGAGGTGCCGGGAGAGAGCAGAGGAGTCCTCAAAGAGCACTGGAGCAGTCTTGGAGAAAGGGTCTCCAACAGGGGAAGGCAGCTCGGGGCCAGCCGGGAACGGGGAATGCCAAGCACAGAGCAGGAGCAGCATTTGCTTCCAGAAAGACCCAACTGAAAAATGAGGTGGGAGCTGGGACCCTGCAGCCAGGAGTGTGGAGGAGGAGAACTCTGTCCCCCTGGGCAGCCCTCCAGGCAGGGCAGCACAGAGCAGCTCTGCCAGGCTTCAGCCTGGCATGAAGCAAGGAATTTGTTCTTCCTCTACCCTACTCTGCCAACAAAGCTACCACAAGCAGTGAGCCAGAGAAAGAGCTTTGTCCCAAAGTGTGAAGGGTTTTAGCATCAAAGTACCCTTTTATTGCAGAATTCCTTCTTATGAAAGTATTAGTTACCTGCTAGACAGTCATGAGCTTTATTTTAGGGGACAGTAAACACAATGCTATTCCCCAAGATTTAACCAATTATTTTTGGACTTACATTTTCTCATTCTTCTCAAAACTGGATACTTTGCACATGTGTACCTGGTTAAGGCCTCCCATGGGCACAGGCAACATCAGCTCATTGCCAGACTTGCTCTGGCCATCAGGGAAAGAAATCTCAGAGGTATAAAATTTCTCAGCTAAGAAACCCACAGAAGAAATATTTACCCCATCCCTTTTCAGCTCTGAATTTTCAACCCACTAAATTGACAAAAATTTTAACATCTGATATAATTTCCTTCTCTTAGATAGTAAGACACATTAAGCCTCTTGTCTGTAGAATTTACAGTATAACCAATAATTACGTGCCTTTTATTTATTTTTAACATTACCAAAACATGCACTACCTACCCTTCTGACAAAAAGCACCAGTTGTGAACACAGATCAGTACAATTAATTTCTCTAATGACCAAATCAATACCACATCAGGATAATTCCACCCACATGTTTCCACAAGTCCATCTTCCCAAGCAAACACATTCATTCTCACAGACACTCACACCAACTGGACAACAATTTTTTCTTGACGAAGAGGGGGAAAAAGTCAACACATACATGAGAGCAGCAAGACGCTGGCCAGGAGGGCAAGGTGGGAGCCAGGGGCAAAGCAAGGCAGGCAGGGACCTCCCAAACAAGCAGCACAGTCCCACAGCCTCTGAGCAGGCAGAGCAGGTCCAGTTGCATTACCTGGGGTCAGCCACAGCCCTGCACTCACCAGACAAGTCTGCAGTGATGAGGCAGGACCAAGCTCAGGCCAGGAAGCCAAGCCAAGGCCAGGGCCAGGCAGGAACACAGCCAAGTACAGGCACACACTCAGGCAAGGAACTGAGCTTAAGTGGGACTCCTAAAAGGAGAGAGGCCCCAGGAAACCTCCCAGCTTTTTTTCACACCAGTCTGACTCACAGTTCCACAGCTGCCCCATATCAGAGCTGGCCTTGATCCCAGCTGGGGGACACTCAGCACCTGAAATGCACCTCCTGGAGCCCAGAGTCCCACCACCCCCTCATCCTTCTCTCCTGCTCCCATCATCACCTCATCTGTGCTCCTCAAATGAACTCTGCTTCTCAAATTTTTAAGTAGGATAGCTTTTGCATTTGTGTTGCATACCAACTGGCTGATTTTTGGAAGGCAGTGTGACTGGTGTAACAAATATGAATGTGAATAGATTAGGTCCACTGATGTTCATGAGCATCTTGGGCAAATATAAATAGGATTAGCTACTAATATTTAAAAAATATGAAGACAGCATTAAAATTTAAATAGGAAAGAGTCTTAATATCAGCCTCACTTAAAAAAAACAAACAAACAACAAAAATTCCCAACCCGAAAAACCTATGATTTTTTACACTAGTTCATGTTTGCAAAGTTCAGTTGAATTCTCCTGCATAATTGCCATTTGCAAGGACCTGTGCTCCACAAATACATGGCAGTATCTGAGGAAGCTGGTGGTTACATGCTTGACTTTTTCAAATAGCAAAACCATACTCTCAAACATCTTCTATAAAACAAGCAATGTGGAGAACAAGCCAGGGTTTATTCTCAGGTCAGGCTAACTCGGCAGAGGGAGGTGTCTCCTCCAGGCTGGCACTAGCTGAGCACAGCTGTGAGAGAGAGCAAAGCAGCTCTCAGGTGATGCAAACCAGCCAGAACCACGGCACAGGCACCAGCCTCGTATCTCCATTTGCCCTTGGCAGCAAACTGAAATTTGAAACATGCTACTTGGAAGATATTTCTGCCTACTCCTATTTTCTAGTATTGAAGGAGTTTTTTTGTTCAAAGAAGACAGACTTTGTTCAAACCTGACATTTCTGTAAAGCTCTACATTGTTGTGGTATTGAAAAGAAATAGTTTTAAAGTTAAAAGAAGAGATTTCTTGCCAACTGGGATTTATTATTACGTGTTTTCAAAAATACTGTCTGAAAGAGTGCTGATAGTCTTGTGGCTATGAGAACTGCACAGTTACTATAAATTATACAAATGACTGTATAAGGAGTACACTGCTCCATAACAGTGACCAGTTTTCATAGTCAGACTGACATCTCTAGATCTATTTTGAATTATTCCTCCTTTAAAGGTTTTGTACTGCTGTTCTTTCCTTAACATTATTAAACTGAAACTTGGTTGAGCACAATGAAGGAATGAATTAAAAATGTGGAGTGGATGCCATGTGTCACAGTCAACAATTTATTAGCTGGCAATCAAAAAACCTCTCCTGGCTCAGCCTTTCCTCAGGATAAACTGGGGAGTCTTTTTAAATTCCCCCATCAGTACATCTTGCAGTCAGAGCTTTCCTGCAGGCAGTGCAGAGGATGAGAGTAGCATGAGAGACTGCTGCCTTTTCTGCTCTGAACCCACTTCTCTCACTGACATTTCCTACTTCTGCCTGGATGAGGCTTCCTGGGCCAGAACTTGCTCTTTTCTGAGCTGTTCATGCTGGCCGCAGACATTGCCCCACTTGCAATTCACATTTTATGTTATTTAACTGAAGCCTCTCTTTCACTAGCAGTGTGGGGGGTTTTGATTGTACATGTGAACTACAGAGCCCACCAAGATTGAAAGGACAAAATGTATTGAATTACTTAAGACAATTTCCACAGAGCTCCAGCAGCAGTGATACAAGTTTTCTCTCACACTAAGCTTTCATAATTACAGGCAGCCAGATAAGGATCACAGGGAGTCTTCCTGCTGTTTCCTCCCGGTGAGGTGTCAGGTTCAGCACAGCTCCGGAGCTGCTGCTGCACAAGTACACTCACTCTTGAAACTCCAAAGCAGCCACTCATGAAATACCTTCTTCCAAACAAGCCTCACTTCTGCAGTTTGCACGTACGGTGAACAAAACATCTAAGAATACACGCAGTCTATCCTGAGTAAAAAAATACTGTTTGTCTGCCTTTAAACAGCCTACCTTGTATCAGTTTACAAGCAAAACAGCCTCTACTAGCAAGTGTTTTTGTTCATACAGTTATGTCTGCAGCCTGACCTTTGCTTGCATAGGGCCTGACTTGAAGAGAACAATAAAAGCCTTCCACAGTCACCATTGTGGAGGGGAGAACTCCAATTCAATGGAATAGTATAGGAGTTTGCATTCCTTAATCATATGATTCGATAAACAAAGGAGACTGTATTTTAAAATGCTACAGAATTGTACAGAGCAAAAGCAGTAAGCTAAACTGGTCACACCTGAAATCCTTTATGTTGATGTACGGTCACCTCCCAGCTGACAAACATCTACTGTCAATGTTAGCCATGTCAGGAGCTGGCTGACTAAAGAAAACCAGAAAATAAGAATCACACTAACCCAGAGGTGAAGACTTACAAGAACAAAAATTTAGTATTTAGTCTTTGCCATTTTACTGCTGAGAAAGCTTTTTAGTTTGAATGTAATTTCTAGTATGTCAGCAGAATCCACAGATTGCTGCACCTTGTTATACTTTGAAGAATATCTGTCAGCTGGGGAAGGAGCAGGGGTATTTAGGTTTTCATTTTTAAGATTTTTTTAGTAATTTTCTTCTAGTACAACAGCCTCTGAAAAACAAAGAATATGTGATTGTTAATAAAAAGCTTTGGTTCAAGGACAAGAGCAAAGATGATCTTATGAAAGCAAAGGTATACTGAGTCCATAAACCACACCCTGCTGCTTCTAAAAGCTGAAGCTGCAGCAAGGCTGGGTGGCATTTGTCATTTTTCTCAGATCTGTTTTCCTGTATGATTGGTAAAAGGAACCCTTTGTAAAAGCATTAATGACATAGCCAAATGTATATTTGCATTCTAACAGTAAAAACCCTGTTTTTTACAATGGTATGCCTTTTTCCTCCCAAAAATGTAAATCAAAATGATTTTTAGAAGAACTTGGGCTTGTGTTTCCAGGTACTGTATATACAAATACAATTTAAAAACTCCATAGGTCCCTGCCAGACATTAAGTATATATTGTCAACAGATGGCTTTGATAAAACCAGCCCCAGTCTCTACACACACACTTACTCACTCAGTACCAGCCTGGCTCCTAATACATTTTTATCTTTAAAGTCTGAAGGCCCTTTGGTGTGCATTTGTACTCAGGGGAGCACATGGATCCATGAGGCATTCAATCCCCAGTGGCAGTGACCCCACATTCCAGCTGGCTCCATAACCACCCCAAGGTTCTGCTCTTGTGCATGGGACACCTGAGCATCACCATCACCAAGGTGCTGGGACAGGTCCTCTGAGCCCTGCTGCCTCACAGGTGTGATTTCCAACCAGTCTGGGAATTCACCTTTCCATTAGAGCTGTGAGTCCAGCTCACCCCTGGGGAAACACCCACCCTGATATCCCTACTCCCTGTAAATCTCTTTATCAAGGACTCCTCGCTCCCCGGGGCAGCAGGAGCGCAGCCCCGGTGTCCCCAGGGAAGGTCTGTAAGATGAGTTTTCCAGAGTGACTCTCATCAAGCAAGAAAAACCTACAGACCAGCCTCGATACAGCAATCAATGAAAACTCTCTCTCTTGTTAGAGAATTCAAGGCTGGCCTTAGTTCACTTAGAAACATGATCATGAAAGGCATGTACTTTGGAGTTGCTGTTTCCTCAAGCATTTTTGAAGATGCAGTCTGTTAAATCTCTCAATAGAAAGATAAGCTTCTTTAGAGCTCCCTCTGTTGAAAACCAGAAGTAAAAAACCTAAATTTTAATTCTCACAGCAATTTCTGCAAGGACTGACCATTTTTATCCAGGAGAGGTTATAAGGTATATACAGGTTATAAGATATATAAAGAGTTAAATTAAATTATCTCAGGGGTTAGTAACCATAGGAGAATATATAGGTTTTGTGTCATAGAAAGAGAGAGAGAGAGAGACAGATTTAAAGCTCTCAGCATTGGTGTGCTTGGGTTTTATTTCCACAGTTTTCAAAAAAACTTTTGTCAGTGGCAGACTCTGACCATATTGGGACAAACTGAGCTTTAGTATTCTGTTCATTATTTGTGGTTGCAGTAGGGGTGCATGTGATGCTATGTTTGGCATGGCTGGCTAATTCAGACTAACAACTTGAGTGAAATGTTAGCAAAGTCCTGAGGACACTATAGGTACACACAATGAGTGTACTGAAATGACTGAGTAAGATAAACCAAAAGGACAAGAAAAAGCCCACACTGTGACAGTAACTGATGTGACATTTTAAAAGGACCACAAGGTACCTGATTTTGTGCTTAAGGCAAGAGAACAGAGGAATCACCTTGACTGTGAAAGTAGTTAGAGCATCCCTGGCAGTAAAGCATAAAACCCCAACTGAATTGCAGGAGATTTACTACATAACAGACATCGATTTGATATTTTTAACTGAAATTCTTAAAAAGTAGTAATTTAACGTGGATTTCTGCCATACATGGAGATTAATCATTTTACTCAGACAAACCTTCTGTGTTGATATTTTTAAGCTTCACAAACACAGAAGGAAACCCAATTCAACTGTGCCCAGCTCTTGTTTCTCCCTGCTCACCAGGCAGGCTTCCCTACCAAGCCAAGAGCTGAATCTACCCCATCCCAAATACTGCCTTCTACTATCTTCTCTTCAGAAAATACAGTCTCCAGAAAATAAGAGTGTCAGCACCTTTCCCATGAGTGGAACCAGGGACACTTTACACCTCAGCTTAGCTCTTCCAGCTGAATTTAATGTCTGTGGAGTTGTTATAGCAGTTATCACCCAGACTTATTATATTAAAAGGGGGATACTATCACACTACTACCCCATGACCGCAATAAAAGTAAAATGCAGGCAGACAGAAAAGCTGTGTGACACTAAAGGGTGGCACTGCCACCTCTGTAGCACCCATTCCCACAACACACAGGGACACTGCACGTCAGACTGGGGTCCTGCAGCTCGCTCCCAAGGGGCT